GCTATTATTTGCTGCTTCTCAGGGTGTGCTTCAATAGCGGGAAGCTGAATCAGAAGCAGAGAAGCTGGTACTCACTTCCAAGTGCTCCACTAGGGTGCAGAGGTTAAAAGCAGCACTTAACCTGCTGTGTCCCAATGCCTGCCTCCCAGGGAGTCTGGGAGGCAGTGAGATGGCAGAAACTTGGTGAGGGATGGGAATGGAGTCTAGCACACAGTACAGAGGAAAGCAGAAAGACACCTTCTTTTTACTCAGATGGGTGCAAGGAGGAGTGAAACCACCACAAGTTGAAGTTGAAGTTGAAATTGTTAGGAACATATGGCTCCAGAAATACATACTTTGGCCAAGTGACCTAGATCTGGTCTGTAAAGGTTGTATACAGCCCTGAAAGCTGAGCCAAGGAGCTTATAATTGACACCGTTGGCCACAGGGTGCTATTGCAGATTGCTCACTGGCAAAATGAAAAGAGAACAATTTTGTAATTTAATTGTGAAAGAATATATTGAGAGATGATAATAATGCCCTAAGCTAGTGATGTTGGTGAGGTTAATTCAGTGAAATGGTTATCACTGGGTGTGGGTATAGGATGTTGAAAATGAAGAGAAGGAAGAAAAGAATGTGATTGCAAGGAGTTACCTTCTTGTCTGGGAGATGGGGATGGAGGTAGATGAAAATTTGCAAGCCAAATGAAGTCTTTATTGATGTAGTGTCTGTTAGTATTGTTTTAGGTGCTTTGATATTTGTTCTATTGCTAACATTACAGAGTCTGGAAGAAAGAAGTTAGGAAGTATATCAGGTTTGGAAGAAAATGTATGATAAGCTGATAGCTCTTTGAAGTCTTTGGTTTTGTCCATAAGGCCTGTTGCAGTTACTTGAAATTATCTACACTTCTCCATTTGGATCACTGACCCTATCTGCTGTTCCGTTTATGTAGTTGAGTGTGACATGTGCTGTCTTGAATTATTAGTTTAGCTTTTTTTCCATTATGCATCAAAACTCCACATCTTTATTTTCAGACCTTTGAAAAGGAGATGTCCTATTTAGAAAATGTCCTCAGTATCAAGAATGGTGCTTTGCACTTACTAGGTAAATGTTTTTGTTATACCATTTTAACTTGACTGAATAAATGAATGAAAGACATTATGGGAAACACCAATGAAGATATCAAAACAACATACGTGTACAAGAAATAGTTAAAAATAAGTTTACTTTGGGACCAGAAATAAGTCTTGGAAGAGGAAGTCATTCTGGATTCTGGTTTTGAACATCAAAAGGATGATTTTCCATTTAAGGGGACCTCTTTTAATGTTGAGAAAATAAAGAGAGATTTTTCTAGAACTTGCAAGAAGTGGTGCAGGGTGAGGAAGCACGACACTGTAGAACCCTACTTCTGCAAGGCTGGGGAATGTCCAGCCCCTTAGCCATATGAGGCTCTGGAGATCATAAGGTCTGGCTCTGCCAACGCAGCAACAGGTGGGATTCAAAATTCAGTAAATCTATTGCAGGCTAATTTCTGAGTTGATGATTTTATGTGGCCTGTGAATGATGTTGCAAATATCCAAAAGGCCTTTGGCAGAAAAAAGGTTTCCCACCTGTGCTTTAGAAGATATGAGAATCACAACTGATGGCTTCTGTAGTTTCACAGTGGGAAGCCCAGAAGGAACGTGGACCCATGGATGATCTGGGGTCTTAGGAGATTTGGGAGGTAAAATTCTAGATTTAGTTAAATTTGATGGAAGAATGATAGGTGTGGTGGTAGTGTTTCTATACTGATGCTCACAGCAGCATTGACATTCAGGCCCTGTATCCAGCACAGTGGCTCAGCTGGTTAAAGCCATAGTCTGCAGCGCCAGCATCCCATGTGGGTGCTGAATCGAGTCCCAGCTGCTCCACTGGTCCTGAAAATAGGCATGAGAGAAATTTGGATTCCGTGAAATGATATTGCTGACAGGATGGAGAAGATTTTGCTGCTTTTTTTTTTAATCTGACATTTTCCAGGTTATTGGTTTTCTTGATGATCTAATGAATATAGCTTTTTAAAAAATATTTATTTGACAGGCAGACTTACAGAGAGGCAGAGAGAGAGAGAGAGAGAAAGAGGGAGGGAGGAGTGATGGGAGGGGGTCTTCCATCTGCTGGTTTACTCACCAGTTGGCTGCAACAGCTGGAGCTGTGCCAATCTGGAGCCAGGAGCTTCTTCTGGGTCTCCCATGTGGTGCAGGAGCCCAAGGACTTGGGGTATCTCCCATTGCTTTACTAGGCCTTAGCAGATAATTGGATCAGAAGTGAAGCAGCCAGACTGGAACTGGTGCCCATATGGGATGCCGACAAAGCAGGTGATGGCTTTACCCATTTATGCCACAGTGCCAGCCCTCATGAATATGTTTTAAACATCTAGCAACCCAGTCTTTTCAGCAACGCTCATCTGCTGACCTCTGCTTTCATTCATTATGTTTTGGTTTGTTTTATGTGAAAAACAATTCTGAGAATGTTTTTTTAAAATAGATTTCTCAAGAAAGGGGTAGGCAACTTCAGGATGAATTCTCTTTTGCCATACTTAAAAAGTTTTCTTGTTTTTAGAGTCTTCTAATCTTCTAAGGGCCACAGAAAGCTTAAGATTTTCCAAATGTTTTTTAACTTCTTTCTAGCCATCTTACCATTATAATGCCCATCTCTTTGTGTTTTTGGATTTACCAGCTCTTATCTTTCTTTTTTTAAAAGATTTATTTATTTACTTGAAAGTCAAAGTTACAGAGAGGAGGGAGAGATGTTTCATCCACGGCTTTACTCCCCAAGTGGCCTCAATGAACAACGCTTGGCCAGACCAAAGCCAGGAGCCAGGAGCTTCTTCCAGGTCTCCCACATAAGTGCAGGGGTCCAAGCACTTGGACCATCCTCCGCTGCCTTCCCAGGCAGATTAGCAGGGAGCTGGATCGGAAATGGAGCAGCTGGGATTTCAATCAGCACCCATATGGGATGCCGGCTTTACCCGTTTCTTACCAGCTCTTTTTTAAGCATCTTAGATTAGACTATACTTAACTCCCTAACTATTGCAGAGAGGAGATTATTTCATCTATGAGTGATAAGGCTGTTGGAGCTTTCTAAAAATGTAACTTGCTATGTGCCTATTGGCATTCATTATGCTTTGATCCATTAGTGCTTGTAGGTTTGGGTTTGTGCTTTCTTCATGTGAAAATTATTCCTTCTATTAAAGGGATGGTGTTAATATGGTCGTTTTGCATGTATGTGGAAATAACTAAAAGGTCTAGATATGTGTGTCAGTCTTTTTTTACTGTTTTCCTATAAAGGTTCTTCTTTGGTTTGGTGAATAGCTGCTAATTGCAGAGTTTATTTATGAGTCTTCTTACACTTTTACTTGACAACTTCTGCTAAAAAGACTTCCTCTATTTCTTCCTGCTACATGTTAGATTTCCATGGGTTTTGGTTTTTCCTGAGTTTATAAGTTGCCAAAAATGTTCAAAGTACTTTTTGATGCCCCTTTGAAATAGGACAGAGCAGTCCCTCAGCTGCTTAAAGTCTGTTATCTCTCCTTGTCTCATAAGCCAGCCCAATTGTGGAATTGTGTTTTAGTAAACATCCCTTCAGAGGTCGTGAGATGCTGGTATTCCAAAGCTTTGTTGGTGGTGATATTTTCCATTCTATTTTGTGTTCTTAAATAAGTGATACCCAAAGAAGCCAGAAGAGTGCTCCCTGGGCTGTTCTGTTACCTGACTGACTGCTGAATTGTCATTTACATTGTGTGTGCTCAGCTTCTTGGTTTGTGGTTCTCACACGCTTCTGTTAGGAATTTCCAAGAGCTCCGCTTTGTTTTATTGATCTGAAATCCCTGGCTTGTGTTGCATTAACCTCATGAACCTCTTCTACACAGCTCTGTCTTCCAACTTCATGAGTGCGCCTGCAGATAGCCGTCATCTTTTGCACCATGTTTTTCAGTGTCTTTTTTGAAGATGTAGCTATTGGCAAGTTGTACTTCTCAAATTATTCTCAAAGATTCTTACTGTATTTTGTAGCCTGTTCAGTTGATAGTTTCTTTTAAGATCCTTGTGTTTTCACTTCAAAGATGAATGGGAAATGTAGCATAAAGAAGGAGGTGTGACTAAGTACCACCAAATCTGATGAGAATTGACAGTGCCAATAGAGATCACAGATCTTTGGAGGCTTTCTTTTTTTTTTTTTTTTTTTTTTTTTTTTTTTTTGACACAACTCTATGGGAATGGAGATCTAAAGAGGGCATAATGTTGTTGCAGTCTAAAGTTTTTTAAATAGCTCCATGTTTTTATATAGTTAGCATTGTGTGTACAGAGCAGTGGCCTAAAACTGCATGCATTTCTATAATCACATATTTGGTGATGGTTTCTTACAGAGGGTAGGAAAACACTGATTCTGATCTTTTAAATAATGTAGAGCATAAAAATAATGAAACTTTCCCTATTCATCTTTCTTCACTCAGGATAGAGAATACTTTAGCCATCATTCTAATTGCCTTCTTTGGTATCAGAGATATAATCATCTTTTAGTATTTTTGGCTGTTTTTCATGATATTTTATAATAGCAAAGACAAAGACCGTGAAGATGTTAAATATCCCCCAATTGTCTCCGAATATTGTATTAATTTTTTGGAACTGGACTTGTGTGTTTGTTACTTCAGCATCTGTTCTTTGGATATGGGAGTGAAATGGATGTTAAGATGTCCTGACTTCTGCTGTGTGTGCTAGGTCTTATGATCATCTTTTCCCCAGAAATCTTGAATCTTTACTCCGGGCAGATTTTTTAAAACTTCTTAGTTTCTCTCTCAGTTTCCTCCCTCTTGATTTTTATTTCTCTATTGCCTACTAATGAATTCTGTAGCACTTGATTTAGTTGGCACAAACACATTGATAGTCATTCTGGGAGCATAGATATGCAAAGGATTAAACATGCAATGGCATTGTGTCACAATGGACTTTTTATTCATTTCTAAAATTGGCTTTTTTTTTAAACAGATAAGTGTAAAGCAGGAAATTACTTTTACTGATGTATCTGAGCAACTGATGAGAGACAAAAAACAAATCAGAGAGCCAGTAGACTTACAGAAAAAGAAGAAGCGGAAACAACGTTCTCCTGCAAAAGTAAGAGAATATGTTAAGGTGGTGGTCGCTACCCTCTTCATCCCAACCAAACTGCTGATGAATCATATGGGCAGGAACCTGTCTGCACCTCCCAGCAGACAGAGAAGTCTCAGGTGGCTTAGTGAAGTTGGTGTGTCGCCCTGCTTCATCAGGAGGGAGGACGGGGTGCATGCCTGCATGGGGGTGGTGGGCCTTTGCTTCCCATATCTCTACTTTTTGTACCACTCCCCTTTCTTCTAAAAGCAATCTTTTCCCAAGTTTCTCTTTTCTCTAAAAACTAACAGATGCTATGCAGTGCCCTTGTTTCTCATTCATAGTAGTTTTACTTACTTTAATATTAAGGTTTCAGAAAACTGTCATGCCAGTTCATTAGGAAAAGGTATGGGATAGCTGTAATAGAATGTAAGCTCCACGAGGGCAGGAACTTGATTTCATTTGTAACTGTATCACAAGGGCTTGGAGTAGGAGGCCTGTGGCCCTCAGGAAGTATTTTATGGGTGGATATGTGGTTTTGTAAATAAGAAACCCATTAAATATTGTTAAAAGTTGTCTGCTTTTTTTCTCTCTCTTCTGTATAGTGATAATTGGCTATAAGTAGCATTTTTAGTATTTCTAGAAATTCTTTGCAATGTACTTTGCATCTTCATAGTTATTTTTTCATTTTTCTTCCCTTATGTAGTGAAAAAGTTTAAAAGAATTATAATGTGATCTTTTTTTGTTGGTTACTGTTTTGTGATTTGGAATCAGCATTCTGTTATCCATAAATGTTATATTACTTTTGGATTCAGCAGTGTGCTGTAGTAGCTCCTACTAGCTTGCAAGAGCTGCTGGCTGAATGTTCAGGAATTTTGCAAGCCAGTTGCTAATACCTTTGGTGACTTGTAGTTAGCCTTAGTGAGAGTATTGACACCATGGAAATGAGCCAGTTCTTCTCAGCCCTCTGTTTCCTAACTGGTTGTTGGACATTTATCAGCCCACCACTGCTTTTGGGATTTATGTCTGCTGGAGCAAACTTTGGATAATAGGGACTAGAAAAACAAATAGTTGTATTTCTTAGAAATATAAATACATACTAGATTTTCTACCATATTCTCCTTCAAATTTGTGTGCATACATACAGTTTTAATTTCCTCTTTTGTAACACTTAATGTATGTGAGCCAGTTTTACATCTAAAATTATTGCTCACTCTTATAAACATTTTTATTAGCTGTGTACTACTTTTTGATACATCACATTATGTCAGACATTGCCATTTTACTGGAAAGTTACATACTTTGTGTCTTCAGTCATGCTGCGCTTAAAATTTATGTATTTATCATTGTGCACTATTGAATCAAAGAGAGTGAACTTTTAGAAAGCTTTCTTGATAATGTTACCCCTTCCAAAAATGTACCAGTTATGTTCCTACCTGCAGGGGGCCTAAGGTGTATCTGTCTGCACTGTCTCTGACTTCTGGGTGTCTGACGTTCCGTTTTTACAAAGATGAGTCTCACTATACTTTAAATTTGAAATTCTTCAGTTTGTAGTCATACTTAACTTGTTTTTGTTATCTTTATTGGCATTTTACATTTTGCGTTTTTAAATTTTTTTTAAAAAACAATTTAAAAATGTTATGTTTAAAAAAGCAGGGAGACAGAGAGAGAGGTCTTCCATGTGCTGGTTCAGTCCCCCAGATGCCCACAACCGTCACGTGCCAGGCCAGGTCCAAGCCAGGAGCTGGGAACTTCATCTGATTCTCCTGTGTGGGTGGCAGGGACTCCAGTACTTGAGCCTTCAACTGCTGCCTCATAGGATATGCGTTTGAAGGAAGCTGGAATTGGGAACAGCAGGTACCCAGTGTGGGATGCGGGTGTCCCAACTGGCATCTTAACTACTGTGCCAAATGCACGCCCTGTGTTTCATGTTTTATAGAATCTTCTCCCCTTCTTCTTTACTTGGGGTTTTCATATTTTCTCAGTGATTTATGTGATATGTTTTTGTTGTTACTGTTTACATTAATGCAAAAATCAAGTTCCTCATATATAAAAAATACCATATTTTGAGAAAAAAACTAATTTCTAAAACTGTAGAAGTGATTGATTATGTTACTTGGAGTTCACTGCTGATCTATGGGGAATCTATTTCAAATCTTTGAAAACACTATAATATATGTAAATTCTGAATTTTCTTGGATATTTTATTGCCATGTTTTTCTGGTGCTATTCTTGATTGTAATGTCCTTATGAAATTCTGGCTAAAACCCATATCATTATTTTCTAGTAGAGCATTACTGGGACTCTTAATTTGATGATATGTTGTAGGTGTTTCTAAATATATATTGTATTTTTACAGAGCTTAAACTATTTTGCTTGTGTAATAAACTTATATATAATGCATTATTTTATATATTCCTAAAGATATTACTCAAGTATTTTTTTTACGTATTCCTAAAGATATTACTCAAGTATTTTTAGCCTGAATAATGGCCAGTTGAGAGACTTGGCCTATTCTTAATATAATGTAAAAAAGAAAATGTATTAGGGTAGCCTTCTAAGCAAGTTCTTAGAAAAAAGAAGTGATTAGAAATAATATGTATAGCAGACGGGTATAAGAATAAGGAAAATTTTTATCTTATTTTATTTTTTAAAGATTTATTCATTTGTTTGAGAAATAGAGTTACAGAGAGAGAGAGAGAGAGGAAGAGATAGAAAGAAAGGTCTTCCATCTACTGGTTAACTCCCCAAATGGCTGCAACAGCCAGAACTGGGCCAGTCCAAACCCAGGAGCCAGGAGCTTCTTCCAGTTTTCCCACATGGGTTCAGGGGCCCAAACACTTGGGCCATCTTCCACTGCTTTCCCAGGCCATCAGCAGAGAGCTGAATCTTGAACCAGCACCGGTATGGGATACTGGTGCCACAAGTGGAGGCTTAGCCCACTAAGCCACAGCGCCAATCCTGAAAATAGTTCTGGCCTGTTGGGTGTGATGGTACAAGGAATGGCTGTGACTGTCTTTAAGGGTGGTCTTCAGTTTCTTTCTTTTTTTTTTTTTTTGAATATTTATATTTATAGATTTTTGAATATTTATATTTATAGATAAAAAAAGTCTTTGGCATGGTTTGTGGTCTTTCTTTAGGGGCTCATTTTTCATATACGAAGAATCACTCCTATTTTCTTCTCCTGGATGCAAGCGAAGATCAGAAAGTTGTGGAAAATATAGTAAAAGATAAGTTTGTGTTGGTGCAAAATTTATTGAGCTCCTTGCATAGTTTTTATTTTTATTTTTTTATTATTTTTTTTTATTTTTATTTTTGACAGGCAGAGTGGACAGTGAGAGAGAGAGACAGAGAGAAAGGTCTTCCTTTTGCCGTTGGTTCACCCTCCAATGGCCGCCACGGCTGGCACACGGCCGGCTCACTGCGCTGATCCGATGGCAGGAGCCAGGTACTTATCCTGGTCTCCCATGGGGTGCAGGGCCCAAGCACTTGGGCCATCCTCCACTGCACTCCCTGGCCACAGCAGAGAGGTGGCCTGGAAGAGGGGCAACCGGGAAAGAATCCAGCGCCCTGACCGGACTAGAACTTGTTGTGGACTAGAACCTGGTGTGCCGGCGCCGCAAGGTGGAGGATTAGCCTAGTGAGCCATGGCGCCGGCCTGCATTGTTTTCTTTTAAATATAGTGCATTGGAACATAAATATGGCTTTTCTTTTGAAGATTTCTTCTGAGAATTCATTTATTTAAAAGGCAGAGAAACACACAGAAAGAGAGAGAGAGAGAGATCTTTGTTCCCCAAATGGCTGCAACGTCCAGAGCTGGGCTAGACCAAAGGCAGGAGCTGGGAGCTGCTTCTCAACACTTGGTCCATCTTCCCCTGCGTTTCCAAGGTGCATTAGCAGGGAGCTGGATTGGAAGTAGAGCAGTTGGGACTTGGACCAACATCCATATGGGATGCTGGTGTTTTAGGCGGCACCTTTACCCACTGTGCCACAATGCCAGCCCCAAGACTAATTTATTTATTTTGAAAGACTTAACAGAGACAGAGGGACAGAGAGAGAGAGGGAGAGATCTCCCATCTGCTGGTTCACTCCGCAGATGGCTGCAGTGGCCAGTGCTGGGCCAGGCTGAAGCCAGGAGCTTTATCTGGGTTTCCTGTGGTGGTGGGCAGGGCCCCAAATACTTAGGCCATCTTCCTGCAGCATTTCCCAGGCCATTAGCAGGGGCTTGGATCTGAAGTGGAGGAGCTGGGACAGGAACAAGCACCCACATGGGATGCCAGCGTTGCTGGTGGCAACTTATACACAGTATGCCATACTGCTGGCTCTGTAATGTCACTTTTAATATCTTGGGATCAGTCTTGTAAATGTTTTTCTAAAAAATTCTTATGTATTTCAGTGAAGCCCTCTAGGAAGACTGAGATTTTAAGGCCTTTTCCCTCCGTTACCCTGAAAACTCCTGAGTGCTAGAATTTAATTGCTTTTGACTTTTATCATTGGCTGTTTCATCTCTTAAGGACACATTCTATTCTGTTTTTCATTGCTATATTTATGTGGCCACCTAACATAGCTTTTGTTTGGCCCTTTGAATCTATTTTTGTTTCATTGTGGATTAAGACCACCAGTAGCTAAAGTGACCAGAAGTGTGTTAAATGTATGAGACTCAATTTAGTTCTCTCTGCTGGCTTTGCGTTTCTCGTGCACAGGGCTTTTTCCAGTTAGACATGTCCAGGCTGCATTGCTGGAGGCTCTTATTCAGAGAATTTCTGCCTGTATTTTATAAAGAGCCAAAAAGAAACAAAGCAAAACAAAAATAAACAACAACAACAAAAAAAACCAGGCAAACCCAAAGGTGATTATGTTGTACTTTAAGCTTCAGAACCTCAAGTCTCTTTTTTTTTTTTTTTTTTTTTAAGATTTATTTTATTTATTTGAAAGAGTTATATATATAGAGAGAGAGGTCTTCCATCCGCTGGTTCACTCCCAAGATGACCGCCATGGCTGGAGCTACACTGATCTGAACCCAGGAG